TTATTCTTCTTAAAACTAAAGCTAGTGGTTCTAGAGCGGATAGTATTGTCAGGACATTAGGTTTTTCTGACTAGATTCGTGTTGAAGTTACTGGTTATGTCGGCAGTATTTGGTTACTTTAGAATACTGATTTTGTTAATATTGATTATATTTATTCTAATGTGCAACTGTTGCATTATAGGGTTAATATCTTAGCTAAAAATTGCTCTTATTTGCTATCTTATGTCTATGGTGATTCCAATCTTCTTCAATATGATCTGCTTTAGGATTCTATCAATTCTCTTGCTCATACTATCACTGATTCTTAGCTCATTGTTGGTGATTTCAATTCCTACCTTTTATGTGATGACAAGAGTGGTGGGGATAGTATCAATTGGAGATCTATGAAACATTTTAGACAATGCATAAATTCTTCCAACCTTCTTGACCTCAACTTCTGTGGTGATAGATTTACATGGGAAAAAGGTAATGTGAAAGAACGGATTGATTGGGCTTTTTGCAATACAGACTGGAGACTTAAATTTCATCAAGCTACTTCCTTTCATCTACTTAGATATGGTTCTGATCACTGCTCAATTAGAATTCAATTATTCAAAGAGTCTCCTCAAAAAAATTAGTTTATACCCTTTCGGTGTCATAATGCTTGGATGCTCGAGGAATCCTTTCATCCTATGGTCAAGGACTCATGGATCAATACTAACTGGACAGAGGGAGCTTTTAATTTTGCCAACACGGCTACTACTTGGAACAAGGAAAAAATTGGCAATATTTCTTCTAAGAAGAAAAGAATATTGAAGAGATTGGACGGAATTGATAAGAACAGAAGCTACAAAGATAGTTGCTTCCTATGGAAATTGGAAAAATCCCTTTGAGAAGATTATAGTAAAGTTCTTTTGCAAGAAGAAATGATTTGGTTCCAGAAGTTTAGATGTAAATGGCTTAAATAGGGCGATCAAAATACAAAATTCTTTCACACTACATCTATCATCAGAAAGAAGAGAAATCAAATCTTATCTCTTAAAAATGATGACAACAACTAGGTAGAAGACCAAAATAACCTAAAGAACATGGCAGTTTCCTTCTTTAAAGACAATTTTAAGGAAGATAATGATATTAGGCCCAAACTCTCTACAACTACTTGCTTTCCACCTCTTTCCCCAGACCAACTTCAATCCTTACATAGGGATGTGACTGAAGAAGAAATTAAAAATGTTGCCTTTGATATTGGGGCATTCAAAGCCCCTATCCCTGATGGTATCAATGCTGAATTCATTCATTCTTATTGGAATGATCTTAAAGACAACATCTTTAATTTGGTTAAAAAGGCTTTCAGAGAACCGGATTCTATAAGGGAGATTAATGACACTTTTATTATCTTGATCCCTAAAATTGATCACCTTACTTGTATGAAAGACTTCCGACCTATTTCACTTTGCAATGTTAGTTATAAAATTATCACCAAAATTCTTTGTACAAGATTGCGCGCGTGCATGAATCATTTAATTGGTGATTATTAAAGTAGCTTCATTCAGGGACGGCAGAGTGGTGATAATATTATTATTGCTCAAGAAGTCATATATCCTATGAGGAAGAAAATGGGAAAAAAAGGATTCATGGCACTTAAGGTAGACCTTAAAAAGGCTTTTGACAGACTTTCATGAAATTTCATCGAGGATACTCTCATCTCTATTGGAATAAACAATCACTTCAGAAAATTAATTATGGCTGCCATCTCCACCACTCGTATGAAAATCCTTTGGAATGGCGAACCAACTGAAGAGTTTGACCCTTCTCGTGGCATTCATTAGGGGGATCCTCTTTCTCCTTATCTTTTTGTTCTTTTTATTGAACGTTTGAGCCATTGCATTCTCAGTAGTATTGAAAAAATGAATGGAAACCTATTAGACTAACACCTAATGGGCCTCCTATTTCTCACTTATTTTTTACTGATGATTTGTTGCATTTTGCAGAACTATCTCTTTCTCAAATGTAAATCATTCTACAATGTCTCTCAGATTTTTGTAAAGCTTCCAGTCAGAAGATCAATGCTAGAAAATCTAAACTTTTCTGTTCTAGAAATGTCAATATCAACAGAGCTTTACAAATTAGCGATAATCTTGGAATTTCTCTCATCGATAACCTTAAAAAATATCTTGAAATTCCTATCATTCATGAGAAGGTTATGAAGCTCACTTTTGCACCTTTAATTGAGAAGACGAACTCTTGCTTGGCAAATTGGAGAAGTCGATACCTTAACATAGTAGGAAAATCAGTCCTTATAAAATTTGTTCTTTCGACTGTTCCTAGCTATTCCATGCAAACTATGCTTTTACCTGACAATGTGTTAGCGGAGTTGGATAAAATTTTTAGAAATTTTCTTTGGGATTCTTCTGATGAGACGAAAAAACCTCACCTTATCTCCTGGGATTGTGTCACGTTTGATAAAAAGGTTCGCGGTCTTGGCCTTAGAAAACTCAAAAGCCAAAATATTGCCTTTATCATGAAACTTTACTGGGGCATCCTCATGAAAACAAATTGTCTTTAGGTATGAGTTCTAAGGGATAAATATAACTGTAGCCGACTGACTATCCCTATGGTTGTCAAACCTAATTCCTGCTCCTATACCTGAAGTAGCATTTGCAAAATTTAGAACAAATTCATGTCTCTAATTGGTTAGAAAATTGGTAAAGGAAACAAAATATCCTTTTGGTATGATAGATGGACCTCCCTGCCTTATCCTCTTGTATATCATGCCTTTCATAATACTGACTCTATTCTTTATACAATAGTCTCGGAATTCTGCAAGCCCAACGGAGGTTGGAACTTAGATCTTATAAGAAGATACCTCTACCTAAATATCATTAAACAAATTGCTCTTGTTCAACCTCCTAATACTCAGGGCGAAGATGACATTCTTATTTGGAGACCTTCTTCAGATAGAAACTTTTCTATTAAATCAGCTTATAAAGCTATAGAAAATCGTCACGCTCAGGATTCTAATGATATTTGTTTTGAAATCTGGAAATGGCTTACTTATGAAAAGATTAAGTACTTCCTTTGGAAAGCAGCTTGGGATCGCTTACAAATAAATGTCATGCTCTCTAATGGAAATATTATACAGCATTGCACCTGCCAATGGGGTTGTAACTCTCCTGAATCTTCTATTCATATCTCACGAGATTGTAAAGAAGCTAAAAAGGTTTGGGAAAAATTAGTTAGCCCTTCCAAACATAATAACTTTTTCTCTTTTTTTGTGCAGGACTGGATAATTTGGAATGCTAACAATGAAGTAGGAAGCGGATATATTAGAGGATTGTCTTGGAAGAAACTCTTTGCCCAAGCCTGTTGGAACATTTGGAAAGCAAGACGCAAGGAAATTTTTTCTGAAGATGATACTGTGGACAAAGACATTGCCTTCTCTAGCACTTAACAAATTATAATTGACCTGCAGCTTCAATCCAAGTTTGTTCGTCTAAATAATTTAGACACCAGACATGAAGCGAGTTCAAAGCCTCCAAAACCTGGATGGATGAGACTTGATGTTGATGGCTTAGTCAAACACAATGGTGCCGCAACTTGTGGATGGCTCATCAGGGATGATAAGGGTAACTTAATCAAAGGCTTCACTAAAAATCTTGGTTACCAACATATCACAGCTGCTGAGCTTATTGAGATTCTAGAAGGCCTAATCATCTGCTGGAACACTAAAATTCCTAGACTTAATGTCTGTACCGACTCAATGGAGGCCATATCTCTCATTAATTGCAATCTAGTTCAGGGTCATCCACTCTCAACTATCATTAAAAGCATCAGAGAAGCAAATCATTGTGCCAATCTCTTTGCTCATGAGGCTCTAGCGACCATTTTGACACTACGTTACTTGATGACGCTCTTAGTGATTGTAGAAGCATTTTGTCTTTTTACATGACCTGATTTGGTTCTTTTGCAAAGTTTTTTATTGTGGCTTTGTATTAAAAAAAAAATATCCCTCTTGCTAGTGTTAGTAAGTTGGAAGGTTACAAGTGACAAGCAATTCCATAAAAAAGTTCAAATACATTGATAGATAGCTAAAGTTGATAATTTGAGTTAAGCCCAACAAATCAAACCTGAATAGGCTCAAAAAAAGTTAGAATCGAGCTTGATTATATGAATTTTTTTAAAGAGGTAGGATAGTTTAAGCTAGATTTGATAAGCCTGACCCTAGGAATTTCCATCTCTATGTGTACGGAGAGTAGGTAATTTTAGTCATGCCCGATGGGCTAGCTTGAATCCGGCCAAAAAAAGTTAAGGTGGAGCTTGATTACATGAGCTTTTTTAAAGAAGGTAGGATATTTTGAGTCTGATTTAAATAAGGCAAACCAAATTGAGTTCAATTTGAATAAACTCGTCCCACCTAAATTATTGGCTTTATAAATAACGCAAACATCTACAAATTGGACTCCATCTAAATAATGGGAATGTCTCATGTAGGGGTATCATTCAAAATTCCCAAGGTCCGTGGTTATCAGGTTCCAGCTTCAAACTTAGATCTCTTCCTCCAGCCATAGCAGAAGTAATGGGCATCATCAAAGGACTAGATCTATGTTAGTTATATGATCTGAGACACATTGAGGTTCTATGATTGTGTGTGGATGCAATAAATTTCATCACTAGATTTCATCGATAACACCTTTACCAAGACGTTATTCAATGTGTTGTTTTTTTATCGAACAGAGATTGTAACGTGTCCATTAACTTTATGCACGGGGAAGTGAATTATACCGCCGACTCTTTAGCTAGTTTTGGCCATACTTTAGTAGATGATTTTTGTATCTTTGATCATAACTATCTTTCTTTGAAGATGAAGTATGGTAAAAGAGCTTTTTTTTTTTTTTTTTGGTTTTCCCCGCTGTTCTAATAGTTTTTCTTGCAGCATGTATTTTTTAGTGTAATAAAGTTCAGTTTTTATTCCAAAAAAAAAAAAAAGTTAGTCTCATAACTCTCATTGCCATCAACTGAAATACTAGAGCTGGAACCAAAAAAATAACAATCCGGCGTCATTAAGAAGCGAAGCTTCGTTGACGTGCTGCCTGGCGCTTTGCGGTTAACTCACGAAACCAAGCATGAGAATGAAACTGAGCCATGAACTTCTTGCAGGGAATCATCGACTCGCTCAGCTCTATCCTGTCTTCTCCCAATTCTTCCAATGATTCTCCCTCGACTTCCAACCTTCCCAGCTCTTCTAATATGGAAGGCGTGCCTGCATCCTCAATTTCCAATGAACGGGTCGCCTACAAGCTCAAGGGGTACTTCGATTTGGCCAAGGAAGAGATTGCCAAGGCCGTTAGGGCTGAAGAGTGGGGCTTGATCGATGATGCTATTCTTCATTACAACAACGCCCAGCGGATTTTGATCGAAGCCAGTTCAACTGCTGTGCCTTCCTTTATCACTTCTAGGTTTTCACTTATTCCGTCGCTGATTAAATCAATTAATGTACTTTGAAATATTTATGGTTTTTGTATGAACCGCTGAAATATATGAAAGAAGAGGCTCCAAAGAGTTAATGAGTTTCTCAATTGTACTCTTTTATAGACTTATTTTATGGCAAAGTTAAAATCGTTAAAATGTATTTTTAGCAGAGAAATAGTACATTTCATATTTGATCCTGGCATGATTTCAGCTTATATATTGCACAATATCCATAGGTTTAATCACAGATAAATGTCATTAGATTTGCAGTCGCTTTGGACCTACCTAGTTATTCTTGCCATTTTACAGTTTCGTGTTCCTCTTGTTATCTCACTGAAATATATTGGCCTGTCACAGTGAACGAGAGAAGGTGAAATCTTATCGTGAAAAAATATCAAAATGGCAGGGTCAAGTTTCTGAAAGGTTACGGATTCTTACTAGACGAGCAGGTTTATATATCATAAACTCAAGCCTTTTTTTTTATTATTATTATTTTAATCCAATCATGAAATCTCAACGTCAGGAGAGTACTGATTTTTTCATTCTTGTATTCTGCTTCGTTCTCTCCCTTTGCCATTTTAGGTAGCAAGCCCACTATTCAGGTACGATGTGAACTAGCTAAGTTGTAAGTACACGGTTTTCTCTTTCAGTTTTTCATTCATGAGTCAGTTCAGTTATTCTGTATGTGCGCACGCTCCTTTGGTGAGCCTTCTTTGCGCATACATACGCCAGTGTTTGCAGCATAAAATGTGATTGTAACATTCACGAGCTCTGATTCACACTCCCTATTTCACGAAAAAAAAAAAAAGAAACTAAGTAGAGGGAACAAAGAAAAAGAAGGGAAAAGAAAAGGAAGAAATAAGAAGACACACTGGTTCTGTGCACCTGATCCTGACTCCTGTGTACCATTTATTAGGTTTCTTCTTTTATCAAAGCACTTTCTTTTGCAGCCGTGGAATGTTCTTGCTGATATAGAGATGTAAGTTTTATAAATATAAGTTTACTATTATGGTTTCTTTTATGTTTACAGAAAACTGCAACTCAGGGACAAACTGCTGCAGTTTCATTTAAGCCATCAAATGCTAGAAAAGATGTGATGCAAAAGAATGTTCAAAGAACCAACCGTGTGGATAAAGATGTTAGCCCAAAATCTAGTCAGGCATCTGGAGGAAATTATGATGCAAAGTTAGTTGAAACAATTAACACTGCGATAGTAGATAGAAGTCCTTCTGTTAGGTGGGAAGATATTGGTAAGATACTGAGATCTATCATATATTTGTGCTTCTCTTTTTTCTTTCATACTTATTATCATGAGATTCTGATTGTGGGGTATGCAGCGGGGCTTGAAAAGGCAAAGCAAGCTTTAATGGAAATGGTTATTTTGCCAACAAAGAGGAGAGATCTCTTCACTGGTCTTCGAAGGCCTGCTAGAGGTGATTCTATGGAATGACATTAAAATTGGTTTTATTAATACTGAAATTAAAGAAGGGAAAAGCAAAAGGGTAGTACAGCTGAACTTTCATTTTTCAGGTTTGCTTCTATTTGGTCCCCCAGGAAATGGAAAAACTATGCTTGCCAAAGCAGTAGCTTCAGAATCAGCAGGAACATTTTTTAACGTATCCGCAGCTTCCTTGACATCAAAATGGGTATGCTTTTTTACTTTTGGGTTGCTGAACTCGTTTGAGTTGGCCGTCATTCCTTTGACTATGTTGTTATCAAGAAGTTTTACTTTGTTTTACTTATGTTCAATAGGTTGGTGAAGGTGAAAAGCTTGTCCGGACTCTTTTCATGGTAGCTATTTCCAGGCAACCATCGGTGATATTCATTGATGAGGTGTAACTCTTCTATAGAGATGAAAAATCTCCCTTTTCCAATTTTAACTTGACTTTAGAAGTCTTCCTTTGTACCAGACTTGGTTCTCTAAAGGGTACACATTTGACTAAGTTTGGAGTGAAACATTGAATGGTCTATGTTTGACCATTATTCTCAGTGAAGATCATTTAATGGTTTAACTATGGATGGATCCCATTACTTTCTAGACCGATAAGACATTTGGGTTTTTTTTTTGATGCAAGAGAAAATCAAAAAACAGAACAACAAAAAAGAAAACTAAGAATCTTCTATGATTGAAGGAATTGAGTCACCAGCTACTATGTGAAGACCCAGAGGGAGAGATAAGGCATGTTTAGCTAAAAAATCAGCTTCTATGTTAAACTCCCTTCCAATGCAAACCAGATCAACCTACCAAGTTCTTTGAATTAATTGTTGAATCTCTGTAATAATCTCTTGATCCTCATGAAGTTCATAATTAGTAGCTCTTAATAGAGATAATGCTTCGTGACAGTCATTATGGAGTTTTACATGTTTGGTTTTGATATCCCAAGCTCGCATAAGCCTCACATAGCACGACCATAGTTCCGCCGCTAGAGTATCACCCTTTTCTAATCAGAGCATGAAAGCTTCAATAGTATTCCCTTTGGTATCCTTAACTAGTCCTCCACAAACCTTGGCATCCATAGAACCCGCAAAAGCCCTGTCAACATAAATCAAAAGCTCATTAGAAGTTAAGGTGTTCATATCTTCCTGCATCGTAGGTCGAATGCCAAGAATATATGTATTTTGTAAATGAAGATTAGCCCCTCATGCAGTTAAGGATAGCTCTTGTTTGTGTAATGACACTCTCCATTGTCAATCTATGGCCCTCGAACACTCTCATTTCTATGTTTCCATATTGCCCAACACAGTACAGCAAACATATCACAGCACTTGGATGTGTTATCTTCCACCTGTATCCTTAAATTCATCTTACACCATTCACGCAGGTCTACAGCAAAGAAAACTTGTCTTTGAGAAGGCCGTATCAATTTCATCCACACTTCCCTAGCTTCAGGACACTGTTGCATCACATGCAAAGTGTCTTCCACCTCCCTAGTGCAACAGCTACACCACGGTTGTCGCATTACATTTGGCTTATTTTTAATCAAATTTGATTGATAACTTGGTTGATGTATTGAGAGCAAAACTGATGATATATGTTATAGCCATTTGTGAGTATGGAAACATTGCATGTCTATTTAATTCAATATCAGGATCTGTAGCAAGCTCTTGGTGACCAACATAATCTATGATTCTCAATATATTTAGCTCCTTATGATTGTGGCTAGGTGCAATGTGAAGCCAAGTATGTGTTAGTTTGCTTCTGTACTGAAATTTTGCCACTAAAATTTTGAAATGGTATATACTGTATAAGTGATTATTTTCTTTTGTTGGGAGGTGCAGAAGGTGGAGGGAATATGTGGTCAGATATTAGGTGTTCTTTCACTTATCAGATTATTCTTTTTTAAAAAAATTGAGTTACTGTTGTGTATTTTTGTTTCATACAAAAGCATTACAGTTTTACAAGGATTTTTTGATTTGATAATTTTTTCACTGATAACAGATTGATAGTATCATGTCAACGAGGTTGGCTAATGAGAATGATGCAAGTAGACGATTAAAGTCTGAATTTCTAATTCAGTTTGATGGGGTGACCTCCAATCCTGATGACATTGTAATTGTTATTGGTAAGTTTTATATCTGGTAGTACTTTCTCTAGTCATTTAGAATCAGTTACCAGATCTCTTTCTACAACAAGCTTAATTTAGCTTGCTGTCTTTTGGTTCTATCATGAGCTGGGCTCTTGTTTTCTTTTTTACAATGAAATGGTGAAGTTAACAACATAATCGTGCAACATAACACTTGCAGTTTCCAATCATCCCCTTCAGCAAATAATACTGCTAAATAAAATCTTGGTGTATGTGGATTACTGAAGAATTCATGGAAATTTTATTACTTGAATTTTCTGAAAATTGCCGGACAAATTTGTTGACATTTTGTTTTCAAGTGAGTATAGTGTGATTGCAACACTAATAGTCAATAGTTGATAAGCCATTGATGGGGCTTGGAACCACTCTATAATTACCTCAGTTGTCGTATTTTCAGATGCATCATGGTATGACTACAAGATGATTTCTTGTTCTCTTCAGTCTTTCCCATTTTAAATTCAGTTGCTTCTCAGTGCATGGTATGTTAACAACAATATTAATTCATTTGGTGACCTCGTTGCTGTAGTGAAGTGGTCCCCTTAGCCTGTGCAATCTGTATGTACAACTTGTGAAATCTTAGATATGAAATCACCTGCTTTTCAGATTCTTTTTCTTTCACAATCCGTTCATAAAGGCAACCTCTGGCATCTAGAGTATTTTAAATACAATGAATTCATAAAAGGTCTTTTTTTCAGTATTCTAATCAAGGATCTATTATTTAATTTCTCTACTGAATATAGGAGCTACCAATAAGCCACAAGAATTGGATGATGCAGTTCTTCGGAGACTGGTGAGTATATCTATAATTGCTCATTCTTAAACTTGATTGTTCATGCCTTCATGGAGGATCTTGTAAAAATCAGTTAATTCGCTATTGATGATAATTGGTAATGAGCATGTAACTTTTTGTTTTGTTTTGTTTTTTTTTTTGGTCTCTTCAAGAAATGAACCCATCTTCCTCTCCTCCTAGCGAACTCTATCCTCTCTTTCCATTAGTACGTTTAAGTTTTTGTAATTTTTTTTTTTCTGGAGAGACTATCACCAAAAAAACTAACTCATCCAGAGATTTGCAATTTCTGACACTATAATCATTGCATAGTATGCAAACTATTACTCATGATGGCCATGAAGTACATACTGCTTTCTTTTTAACTCTGTTTCCTGAATATATGTGAAATACTCCTTAGGTGAAAAGAATTTACGTACCTTTGCCGGATGCAAATGTTCGAAGACTTCTATTAAAGCACAAACTCAAGGGTCAAGCGTTCTCATTACCTAGTAAGAATCACGCTCTTCACATTTTATGATGCTTGTATTGACTGAAGTATCCTATGGTCCCAATGCCAGGCCCCTTGCACACATGCACGCACACATAGCGAGATATGGAAAAGAAAAGCCAAATGTGATGGAGAATTTGGTATTGTATTAATCCTTCAGAAGATTCACTCTATCTGCCCTATGAGAATACTTTCAGACACTGATCTCAGCCCCAACCCTGTGTGCAACACAATCCCTCAGTAAAATAGACCCCAAAATATTTAGAACAGCCTGAAATAAGCAGCTGGCTTTCGAGACCGGTCCTCTCCCTCCTTTCCTGTTTTCTGTCTGAGAGTGCACCTGACTATGTCAAGTTCTCTGAAAAAGACATTCCCACCCACTCCTCAGTTCCTCCTACCTTGGCTGAGCAAATCACTCTTGTCCCCTTCCCATCTCGTTTCTTCCTCCCTTAACTTCTTTTGGGCGTCTGTTTTAGGTCTTAGGGAAGGATGTAGGTTTATCTTGAGGGGGAATCCGTCAGAGCATGTTGATTCTGGTTATATTCTTCTGCGTGATTCTGGTTTTGTGTAGTCCCTTTTATTCATCACTGGCAAAGCATTACGCATACTCAATCATGGGGACTGCTGAGAACCCTAGAATGAGTGTTATAAAGAAATTGACGTTACTAAAGGATTATAAATCTACTAATATTTTGGTGTCTTGGATATTTTTACCATCTAGGAGTCTTGTTATTTCTAAGGACTATCTCTACTCTTATTCTGGAGATAGGAAAGTAATTTATCTACAGATTGTTTGTGAATCACCTTTATCTCTGAATTTATCCTGAGGTTAATCTCTTTCAGAGTTTTTTTTTTTTTTTTTTTAATGATGCAAGGGCTGAAGTGTGTTTGTGAAGTTTTATTCTTCAGTCCATAATCTTTTACTGATCTTTGCTTCAACCCTAAATTAGAACTTGGGGCTAGCACGCAAAAGGTATAATCAAATGTGACGATTTTTGTAACAGGACTTTAGTATGTCTATTGATATGATTAAGTTTGCATTTGTGCTGGGTTTTGGTGACTTTCATTTCCTTGGGTTCCTCTCACAAATTGGTGTACAAAAATGCGGGTGGATGTGTGGGTTTTGGGGTTGGGGGGATAAAAGGTAACGGAATTACATTTGGTGGACCTCATTCTGTGATCATATTAAACCATGTGATTTGCTTGTGTATTTTTTTTTTAGAGTAACAACTTAACTTTTCTTTTTGCCGTTGGCCAATAGTTGGGCATTAAACAAGTTACAGAGATGCTAATTTCTTGATAAGTTTGTATGTTATACGTGATATATGTATCTGTGGTTTTCTAATTTTAATGGATATGGTTTCTTCTTTAAGAGGTCATAGTCCTGGAGTATATATTGTACTGTCGAAGGAAATAATTGTAGTGTGAACATAATGAAGGATATGCAAGAACCTAAGGAATTTTAGATGTTCCAATGAGGGGCAATTTAGTAGGATAAGCAAGAAATTTCAAGTTTCATCTGCAGGATGTCCTATTTGTTGACATTTTTCAACTTATAGGATGGCCTAGTAATGTGACAATTTTTTATGGCCGTAGCATCTTTTTGGACCAGGATGAATCTGTCATGGTAGTATATAAAGAACAGCTGGCCTGCTTTTGTTCTTTGTTGCCTTGAAAGTTCATTTAGATCTGGACACACAGAAAGATGAGGAATGTGGTGAATGTCTTCTTAAGAGTTCAATATATTTTATTCTCTCACACTTAAATGAGCAGCTTCACTTGACAACTATATGGTTCATGTGGGTTAACTAATGCTATGTATGCACTTGCACATGTGTGTTTATATCAGTATTGGTGTATGGTATTGCTTTGGGCTTTTCCCCGTCCACCATCCAAAACCTTAGATATCTGTTGAGTACTATGTCCTTTGGTTATGACAAAATTGCAAGAGAAACTGCTTAGAATGATAGGGCCTATTTGGCAACCTATTCTGGGAATAATTTTCTGTTTTTTAGAACAAAAGAATAAAAAATCTGTTTGGTAACTTATTTTCAAAAAATGTTTTTAAGAAAAAAAAAATATATTGTTATGGAAAATAGAAAAACGGAAACATTTTTTAGGCATTTTGGGATTATTGTTTTAGGAAATAAGGGATAATAAGAAAAACACTTGTTTTCATTATTTTTTTTTCTTAGAACATGTTTTACAAAACATCAGTTCTTAGAATAATAAAACAAAAACAGTTTCAAACAAGCCCATATTCTCTGATTTGAGATCATGAAGTTCAGTTTCTTGGAGAGGTTAGTGGATTTTCCTATACTAAGATAACGTGTGTTTCTGTTGAATTGTGATTCTTTGTATATATTGCTCTCGGGTATTCATAATTGCCATGTTGGGGTTGGCCTGGATGCTTTTTAGTAACTTGTAATTTTGATTACATGCATAGGCAGCATAACTGACTAGAAGTTTAGAATGATATTATTTTAAAATTCTCATTCTTTTTTTTCGCCCTATGATCTCCTCTTTTCACTCAGATCCTTAACGAGTAGTACAAGAAATGGTTGGTGTATTGTGCTGCTACTTTCTCAGCTTTTTTTGGGGCTAATTTTATTTATCTTTCTCTGCATATATATGTTGCAGGTGGAGATCTAGAAAGGCTTGTGAAAGATACTGAAGGTATTTAGCTCTTTCAATTGAATTTCTGCATTTTAGAGTTTAGCTTTGCGGGTATTTGTAGCCAATACAGTTTAGCTTGCTTCTAAATCCCGAGGAAATAGGAGTTAGCATGTTGAAATCCCCTTTCTTGTCTTTTTTCCCCTGAAAGAATGGACGCTGTATTTGTTACCTTTGGTTTACAACAGGATATTCCGGAAGCGATCTACAAGCCTTGTGTGAAGAAGCGGCCATGATGCCAATAAGAGAGCTCGGTTCTGACATTCTGACTGTCAAGCCAAATCAGGCAAGTTAACCAGAAAATCCTACTACTTCATGTCTTGCTGATTCTTGTCTATTTCTAGTCTAAGCTTTGTAAATTAAATCCTTAGGAGGGATGGGTTGAGATCTTAGTTATAAAGTTGAGTCTAGAGGGTATACATGAGGCATATTATTTTATGCACTGTTTTTCATATTAGCAGAATTTTTCTTCTGTTGTTCCCTGGTAATAGGTTGGCTCGTTGTATTTGTATCCAAAGATGAATTGCACAATTCAAAGCTTGTACACAATGCAGTTACCTACTCTTTTATACTTTATATTGAATTGATGTTGATTACAACTAGAAGGGGATAATTATGCTTAATAGGGAAAATTAATAAATATAAGGATGAATATTTTAAATAAATTTTAGTTGAAACATCTTGAAAATATTTTTTTTAGAGCTAAAGTTATTAATAGATTTTACTAGATTCAGTATCAAGTTTTCTAAAAGATTTAGTAACCGCCATAAATCCTCTTGCAAGATTTAAGTGACTATAGTTCTTAGAAATAATTATCATTTTGAAGATTCTTTTAACAGAAAATTTTGTAAGATTTGGTTCTTGGAATGTAGTTTTCCAATTTTCAGTGGATGAGGACACAACTTGTTGTTTATATTGACAATTGTTGGTGTGTGATCAGGTAAGAGGACTGAGATACGAGGATTTTAAGAAGGCAATGAGTGTAGTGAGACCCAGTTTAAACAAAAGCAAGTGGGAAGAGCTTGAGCGGTGGAATGATGAGTTTGGCTCTAACTGAATCAGGGTGAAGCTAACCTCTGTACAATGGCTAATCTGAAATGTTTAATCCTTGACGTCTCTCTATTGAATCTTCTGTACATGTATTTGTTTCATTGTTTGCTCTGGAAGGAATGTAAAGGATGCCATTATTTTACTTCAATTTTCATTTCCTCTATTCTCTCCTCTGCCGATTCCATCTAATAGAATAAAGTTTGTACTTTGTTACAATGATTTAAAAATCAGATTGAATTGGACGGTTGGATTGACCGGTCTAGATTTCGGCTCGATTAGCATGAAAAAATTGTTTTGGAGTTTGGGCTGCTTGGGCCGCTTTGGATCGATGGTCGGATTGAGAATCGAGAATCAGATCTGGTTTTCAAAAACTGGACTGTTGAAAAAGATACCATTTTTCTTTTTTTTTTTTCATTTTTATTAATTTTTTTATTCATTTAATGTTATATTGCATTATGTGACTTATTAAGTCATAATAAACTTAAAATATTTAGTTTTATTTTTAAATTTAGTAATAATTTCATATTTATCTATTATATTTAAATTATTATATACATATATAATTTTTTAATTTAATTATTATGTCATTAATTTGATCATTGATCCAATTCGATTGAACCATGTGAACTATGAATGACTGGCTTTTTTGGTTTCATGTAAAGTTTCGGTTTTAAAAATATTGCTTTGTTATTGTTGTATTCACTCATCACTCTTCTCCTTATGTGGGCTAAAATGGATACGTATCTCTTCCCCCTTGCTCACTCTAACTCTCTGTGCATATATATATATATATATATATATTTTAATGTCATATATGTAGGTTTTTTCCCCTTGTTTATAATCATCTATACTCCCCCCCCTTCAACTAAGAACTTTATTCAAGTTTCTCTCAATATAATACATACATACATACATACATATATATATATATATAAAATAATTTTTTTTTCCTATTCTTATTACCTATAATTTCTTTCACAACCCTTTTCTCATTTCCTTGTCAATTCTCTCCTCTTGAAATGTTCTCCTTTTCATTTTGCGATGCACATGTGACAAATTGTTCCAAATTTTACAGTGTATGCGTATATGAAAATCCACATTCAAGTTATTCTAATTAATATAATTGATTATGAAAATAATTATGTTATATGATATAATTGATTTAAAAAATTGATTAAGAATTTTGATTTGAAGTAGAATTGAAGATCAGGTAAAATTATGGTTTTACGATTTTTTTAAAATATCCAAACACTTTTAATATATGCAATAGTTTGGAGAAAATCATTCAATTCGGGTCAGTGGGGATACAGTATACTCTTTGTGCTTATCAAAGTAGAATGAAAAGAATAGAAACTATTGCAATTTAATTCATGTTTCAAGGTACAAAAACAATATGTATTATGCTTCATTTCTTGTAATTAGTTAATTAATACAAAATACAAAATTTACATTAAAATATATTATTTGGTTCAAAATAAAATCAAGATTCCAATAGTTAGGTATGGTAAATCAAACTTTAAATCTTTTATCATAATATGTTTATATTTAATACTTGATTATGTTTTCTAATAAAAGAATATATGTGTGGCAAAAAAAAAAATAAGATTTTATTTATAGACAAATCAAATCATATCCCAATGCATTAAATGCAATAGTGACACAAATTCATTCGCACTTGTTTTTTTTTTTTTTTTTGCGTATATTATTTATTATACTTTATCAAATGTTTATCTTGTTAAAGTAATATAGGTGTAAGGAACTGAGTGAACCAATGTATTTGTTGCGCCCGAATCGTGATCTCTCTAAAACGATAAATGTAGAAGTCGTCATTAAAATTTTAAAGGATAATTTTAGAAATCTTTAAAAAAAATCAAATGGTCTATAATAACCAGAATGGGGTTCGAGAGTCTGTTGTGTATGGGAAAGGTATTAGGCACCCCACGACACCCATTCATAAGAACGGTTACTCTAAGTTGATCATGTAAATTAATTAGCCTTTTAAGAATATCTTAGTTATCTTTTATTGCACATGAAAAATAAAGATAAAAAATAAAAGAAAATAAATTATTTATTTACATGGAAGGACTTGATCTAAGATCAAAGCCTAAGGCCTATGTACCCTGTGATAGGGACCAAAGTTTACGTAGTTCGAATGTTATTATTTAAGTTTTTTTTACATTCTTTTAATTAATTTCTTTTATGAAGAGAATGATATTTTGGGTTATATTTTTATTTATTATTTTTATAAAAATTCATTCTTTGAAAATACCTTTGTGTACGAAGAAAATAATCAGTGTTGGAACCTGTAGCAATTTAGTAGTGCTTACGGTCTATTGGTTGATACTCTAAGTGCGCACAGTGATTTAATATCACTCATGACAAACTCTAAAGAAAATTTCTAAGTAAATAGTTTTCTATAAAAGAATTTAAATATTAAATTTTAGAACAAAATTTGATACTTGTGATGACTTAGTGTCATTCACGGCATCTTCTTTTGATATTTTTAAGGATTCAAGGTGATTTAATATCACACATGGCATAATCTAAAATATGTTAGGAGTTTTATTTTTTTTTAATAATGTACAAGATGGTGGGAAAATTAACCAGCATTGAAACCTACGATGATTTAGCATCACTCACAATTCATCAGTTGACATTCTAAGTGTATATGATGATTTAATATCACTCATGGCGAACCTTAAAGGAGTTTTCAAAAGAAAAAAATTAATTTAATTTTGAAAAATATAAAATTTGATACCTAGAATGACTTAGTATCATTCACGGTATCTCATTTAACATTTTTTAGGGATCCACGGTGATTTAATATTACTCATGGCATAACCTAAAATATGTTAAAAGAAAATGTTATTTTTAAAATAATGTACAAAGAGAAATTTCTTGACACTTGACAATTGCGGTGGTTTAATATCACTTACATCATCAATAAATTGAGTATTCACGATGATTTAATATTACTCGTTAACCCTCTATTTTTTGATGATAAAAAGGTTAGAATAATTTTTTAATTTTTTTAAAAGAGAAGTGGATGATTCATTGGTAAAACAAATGAGAATAAATACAAATAAATTAACAACACACTCAATTAGCCACGTAATGAAATTATTCTCACAATTTTGACAAATGAAATAAACTAAAAGTTTTGCCCTCATAATTCCAAGATCAAGCAAACCTTTTGGACAAACTGAAAAAAAAAAAAAAGGACAAATCAATGAAGATGAGGCCAAGTAAGAATCATTTAGAATTGATTCATGCACGTGAGCAAACCTTTTCGGTCAAACTAAAAACAAAACCAAAAGAAAAAAGACAAATCAATGAAGATGAGGCCAAGGAAGAATCATTTAGAATTGATCCGTACACGCGGTAATCAAATAAAAAGAAAAAAAAAATTATAAAAGGCATAATGTTGTCATCAAATATACAGCAAATTTCAATTGAGAACATATAACTCAAATAAGAGTAATCAGTTGCAATCATCGTAATGATCAGTGAGGACCAAAGTGGTGGTGAACCCAGAGGCAAAAATTCTAAACCCAAGATAGCCCCTCTTTTCTACAAAAGAATTATACTGGCTAAGCACCCATAATCAGATGAACATGAAAATAGAGTTGAAATAAAAACTCACTTTTTAGAGTTTCACCAACATGGTCAGTTTCCTCCCTTCTATCTCCTTTCTAAAAAATCCTCCTAGAATTCCTCTCTCTATTTCATCTCCTCCCAATTTCTTCCTTTCCTTCCGTCCCCCTCTCAAATCTCTTCTATACCTTTTTATAGATGCTAACTAGGGTTCTCTTATTTAATAATAGGATCAAACAAAAAGGCAATTTTTATTTTGAATCTTTTTTATTATTTGAAATTTCATATTTTTTTCTTAATTAATTAAAAATAAATCCCAGTCAAGGCACAATTTTTTCAAATCAAATTTTAAATATTCTAAATTTTTATTTCAAAAAAGTCAACTTTAATGGGATCATAATTAAGGGCATTTAGGGTAAAAAAATATTATTGTTATTATTATCACAAAAGCCCTTCCTTTTTTATTTCTTTTTTATTCCTTTATTTTATTTATCTTGTTTTTATTAATTTTTAATTTACACTTGAAAGCCCGGGCAAAATACAGTATTTACAGTATTACAATTACTACTAGAATTTTAAAGGATATAATATTAGAAATTTAGAATTAACCAATGAATCTTTTGAAATTTAAAAAATTGCAAAATTAAAAAATAGTTAAGGTTTTTAGTTATAATTTTTTTAAAAAAATTCATTGACCGCATCGCCATCTACTGCAAAGGATCCAGCTCCTCGTCATTGATCGGCTCACGGTATCAATTAATGTTTTTATTTTTATTATTATCATCATCATTAATCATTATCATTGATATATATATAAATTAGTATAAAAATTTATACTATTTATCACTTACAACGACAAAAAAATTCTCCAACTAATAAGGATGGGACTGAGTTGCTATTACATAATCTAAACCTTGTCGTTTTAAATTTTAAGAATGAATATCAAAGGATTAGAAAAATAATCATGAAAGTGAAGGTTTACTCCATCCGGAGGATTTAGATTTAGTAATTGTATTTAATATAAGTATTAAGTGTTTGAACCATTTGAGTCATTGACATCTAGATCAACGGTTTAGATAAATTCACTTATTTATTAATTTCAAATGGGGTATAACTATTGATTTGGATTTTAATGATTCAGATAATATATTAATTGAATGCTTGTACTAAGTATAGTCACCGAATTCAAATCTTCATTGGGATCAAAATATAGGATATTGGTAACTAATTCACGATGTTCAAAAAATCTTAGTTGAAACATTAATTTCTTAAAACAATTTGCATATTTTCAATTATACTCACATTAAATATCTTATATAAATGCTTTGATAATGATAATTAAAATTTTAATGTATCATTTTTTCAAAAAGAATACTAAATAGAGTAGGGATATAATTGAAAAATAATTATAAAAGTTACCTAATATTTTATATTTTGAACCAAGCAAAGCTTTTAGAAGATACCTTGTGTTGTAATTCAAAAAGAAAAGATTACTGTTATAGAGAGTAAATATCTTTTGAATATTCGACCAATGTATTCAATCTCCCGCTAATTAGTTCATTGGCATGGTTGATTAACTTCTTCATGGAAAATTATATTTGTCTACGATAATTTTACATTCAATCTCAAATTTTCTTTATTTTATTTCTATCCATAGAAAATCCAAGT